TTTAGTAGTGATGATAAGCTAAAATTAGGATGAAAAATTAAAAAATTTTCTCCAATTCGGAGGCGGAAATCATACCCATACTGGTTTTATTTTTCTTTCAGTCACAGCTTGCTTCAGGGGATGAACATGCGTGTGCGAACAACTCCATGCTCCAGAAGCACCCAAAAAACCAATCAAAAGATAATACAAAGAAGGATTAATAGCAATCGTGTGATAAATTAATCAAACTATACAAATTTGAGTTACATTTTATGAAACGTATGATTGTATAACACTTATTCAAAATAGAAGAGCGTAAAATTGTCAAATCACAAAGTCAATATTCAGGGTTCACTTTGTAAAAGCAACAAAGATTGGAAATATCTAACTTCGATTTTTACAAGCTCTATGGTGTAAAAAGTTCCAGCGCACTATATAAGCTCGACAAAATTGAAATGCCAAGTTAGTTAAAAATTGGCTAATATTATTCAGCAGCGTTGTTGAAAAATAGTTCAGTCGTACTACATACCAAATCAAAACTTAAACGTTAATATACTAATTGTTACACGTTTTAAAATTGAAACAACTCGTTAAAACTAAAGAATGGAAGGAAAGAATTTTTCATCTGACATCGTAGTTCCAACGAAGAAAACGGAAATAAAAAAGAAATGTCCGATTGGGAAGTGTAAGTTTACGGCTGTAAACTACTTCCATTTAAAGTTCCACATAGAAAAAACACATGGAATACCAAAAAATCTCGTGTCGCCAATTTGCGAAAAACATACCTGCGTAAACAACACCATGCTCAAAAACGACACGAAGAACCCCTCAAAAGCTAATAAAAAGAAGGATGAACATGGGTGTGCAAACAACTCCTTGCTCCAGAACCACACGAAAAACCCATCAAAAGATAATACAAGGAAGGATAAAAAGCAATATAACTTTAGTGATTCTAAAATTTCAGATGGCTGCCTTTTAGCCAGAATTCAACCAAAAATGATGTCACAAGTAACAAGATTTGAATCGTTCAAAGACATCAAAAAACAGCTTCTTCCTGATTTTGAAGCTTGCATATGAATTTTGAAAATTTAACTTTGTATTCTTTTTTGTTTTGATTTTTTTTTTAAAGATTTGGTTCTGATATATTATTTCAGATTTAAAATTTCAGATATTATTTTGGTGAGAAAAATTTTTGAACTTTCAAGTACTTATATTTTTTAAACAACAATCATTTTTAAAATCAACAATTTGTAAATATGTATAAATTATTTCCACAAAATTACTCTTAAACACCAAAAAATTTGTTAGATGAAACTAACTTATATAATAAAAAATGATGAACTCATCGTCCATAACATCCAAATTGGTTGAAATAATATTTGACAAAAAATATTTAAAATTAATCTAAAATTAAATCTCAAATAATTAATTTGCTTAAAGTAATTTTATTCTAATGTGCACTAAAAATGAAGAAATACTTAATTACGAAACATGGGTTCTAATTTTTACAGTTAGCTAGTCTTTTTTCTGTTTACATAACTATGGTTGTGAAAGATGGATTCACTGTGAAAAAGCAAAGATCTGAAAAATCTAACTTTGCTTTTTACAAGTTCTAGGCAGTAAAAAGTTACCACGCACTATATAAGTTCGACCAAATGTGAAACATCAAGTTAGTTAACAATTGTCTCATATTGTTCAGCCGTGTTGATGACAAACATTTTAATTGCTATACGCAAACTCGAACAGAATTTCAACACAATAATATTACACTCTTCTCAACTGAATCAAATCGTTCAAATGGAATTTTCATTGAACAGCGAAGTCCCAGAGAAGAAAATTGCAAAAAAGAAAAAATGTTTGGTGGAAAACTGTAAGTTTACAGCTGTAAACAACCACCACATGAAATACCACATGCTAACAACACATGGGTTGGGGCAAAAACTTGTGTGTCAAATTTGCAAAACATACACCTGCGCCAACAATTCTATGCTAAACAGCCATATGAAGAGCCACTCAGAAGTGAGGTCACACGCGTGCCAGACATGTGGAGCCTCGTACAAATTTTCTTACAAACTGAAACAACATCTCCTAAAACATCCATCTCACGTTTCCACCCCAGATGCAAATTCCCCAGCTCAAGAGCCCAAGAGACAACGTGGAAGGAGCCGGAGTTCAACGAATAACGTGACAAACAACAACTCAGAAGAAGAAGTCAGTATTGTCAAGAGAACAAGAACAGGCAGGAAAAAAGTGCAAGCTGCAAGGGAAGACGTTCTGCCTCGTGAGCATCCAAATGAAGAGGCTCATAGTTGTACAATATTAGCTGAAGTGAGCCAAACAATGGGGAAGAGGAGGCCCAGGAAGGGAGTGCCCAGGAAGATTACGTGGTTTGCTCCAGCATCAGATGATGAAGAAATGATTAACGAGAAACTTTTTTAATATCATTTATTCGTGGTTTTTAATTTTTATAAAATGTAAATAAAACATTTTAATGCGTTATATTTCTATAAAACACCACAAGTCTTAATATTTGTTGCAATTTAATATATCAAAAATTATTTTGGCAAAATAATAATATTTATTGCAATTTCATCTGCGTCGTTAAGTAGTTAAATCCAAAGTTTTTAAACCTTGTAGGACTATTATATATAAAGATCTGTAACAAACAGACAATCTCTTCAACAAATTTTAAACTAATATTTAGCAGTTTTGTTCTTCCTAGAATTAACTTTACTGGTCCCTAGCCAGAGTGTCGAAATTAGTCGGAGTCGTGGATTTTTTTCATCTGACTTCGATAACTGAAAAATGTTAACAATTAAAATTTTTTTCTGAAAATTTATTCAAGATCGTATTTAGTAGCGACAAGCAATCATCTTTAATACTAAAAATAAATGTGTTTTTTTCAATATGTTTTAAAACAAAAAATCGATGTAATTATATTAAGAAAAGCAATTACATTGATTTTAAGTGTTTTCAGTCATTTTTATTTAGTAGTGATGATAAGCTAAAATTAGGATGAAAAATTAAAAAATTTTCTCCAATTCGGAGGCGGAAATTCATACCCATACTGGTTTTATTTTTCTTTCAGTCACAGCTTGCTTCAGGGGATGAACATGCGTGTGCGAACAACTCCATGCTCCAGAAGCACCCAAAAAACCAATCAAAAGATAATACAAAGAAGGATTAATAGCAATCGTGTGATAAATTAATCAAACTATACAAATTTGAGTTACATTTTATGAAACGTATGATTGTATAACACTTATTCAAAATAGAAGAGCGTAAAATTGTCAAATCACAAAGTCAATATTCAGGGTTCACTTTGTAAAAGCAACAAAGATTGGAAATATCTAACTTCGATTTTTACAAGCTCTATGGTGTAAAAAGTTCCAGCGCACTATATAAGCTCGACAAAATTGAAATGCCAAGTTAGTTAAAAATTGGCTAATATTATTCAGCAGCGTTGTTGAAAAATAGTTCAGTCGTACTACATACCAAATCAAAACTTAAACGTTAATATACTAATTGTTACACGTTTTAAAATTGAAACAACTCGTTAAAACTAAAGAATGGAAGGAAAGAATTTTTCATCTGACATCGTAGTTCCAACGAAGAAAACGGAAATAAAAAAGAAATGTCCGATTGGGAAGTGTAAGTTTACGGCTGTAAACTACTTCCATTTAAAGTTCCACATAGAAAAAACACATGGAATACCAAAAAATCTCGTGTCGCCAATTTGCGAAAAACATACCTGCGTAAACAACACCATGCTCAAAAACGACACGAAGAACCCCTCAAAAGCTAATAAAAAGAAGGATGAACATGGGTGTGCAAACAACTCCTTGCTCCAGAACCACACGAAAAACCCATCAAAAGATAATACAAGGAAGGATAAAAAGCAATATAACTTTAGTGATTCTAAAATTTCAGATGGCTGCCTTTTAGCCAGAATTCAACCAAAAATGATGTCACAAGTAACAAGATTTGAATCGTTCAAAGACATCAAAAAACAGCTTCTTCCTGATTTTGAAGCTTGCATATGAATTTTGAAAATTTAACTTTGTATTCTTTTTTGTTTTGATTTTTTTTTTAAAGATTTGGTTCTGATATATTATTTCAGATTTAAAATTTCAGATATTATTTTGGTGAGAAAAATTTTTGAACTTTCAAGTACTTATATTTTTTAAACAACAATCATTTTTAAAATCAACAATTTGTAAATATGTATAAATTATTTCCACAAAATTACTCTTAAACACCAAAAAATTTGTTAGATGAAACTAACTTATATAATAAAAAATGATGAACTCATCGTCCATAACATCCAAATTGGTTGAAATAATATTTGACAAAAAATATTTAAAATTAATCTAAAATTAAATCTCAAATAATTAATTTGCTTAAAGTAATTTTATTCTAATGTGCACTAAAAATGAAGAAATACTTAATTACGAAACATGGGTTCTAATTTTTACAGTTAGCTAGTCTTTTTTCTGTTTACATAATTATGGTTGTGAAAGATGGATTCACTGTGAAAAAGCAAAGATCTGAAAAATCTAACTTTGCTTTTTACAAGTTCTAGGCAGTAAAAAGTTACCACGCACTATATAAGTTCGACCAAATGTGAAACATCAAGTTAGTTAACAATTGTCTCATATTGTTCAGCCGTGTTGATGACAAACATTTTAATTGCAATACGCAATACTTTCAAATTCAACAATGGAACAAATGAAATTTTCATTCGACAGCGTAGTTCCAGAGAAGAAAATTGCAAAAAAGAAAAGGTGTTTGGTGTTTTAAAACATAAAATTGAAGTAATTATACTAGGAAAGCAATAAATTAAGTGTTATTAAATGTTTTTCAATTCATTATTATCTAATAGTGATAATAAGCTAAAATCATGATGTAAAAGTTAATAAAATTTTCTGCAATTCGGTGGCAGTCGAGTTATTTTGATAGGGCGGAGTCGCTGTCAGAAATTTTTCATCCGACTCTTTTTAATGGTCAGGTAGAAATATATGCGTTACGATATTTTGAGGCCTAAATAGACAAGGAGGCAGAAGAGAAAATAATTTTAAGGGCTATTAAACTTTCTCGCATAAGTATAGGCATGGCAGATCAGGTGTAGCTTTGAGGCGAAAATCTCTCCCAAGTTTGATTAATTTGGACCAAAATTTTATTTATGTTTCATCCTTTCCAACGTTAACTTTTGGCTAACTTTCACATCCTCTTGAAATTGTTTAGAAGTGAACTTATTTGATGAATAAAATAACAAACACTGAGTTTTTAAAGGAATAATCGTTAAAGAAAGTTCCTAATCTTATTTGAAATGAATTGAAATCAATTTAATGTGCGTTCATCTATCGTAAATTAAAATGTTCCCAATAAATAAAATGAATAGAAAATTTATCTGAATTAGGGATCAAAGTTTTGGCATTTAATGGTCGATATATATCAGACTTATGAAAATGACTAACAAAGGCCGAAACGATCAAGATTATTCGACGGAGATCGTGGCATTGAAAATCATAGAATAAGAAAATTGAAATGCAAGATTACCAAAAATAAAATAGTTTAGTGAATAAGTAAGAAAATACATTTTATGAAAATACATACAACAACAAAACATATAATGACTCCCAAAAACATTAAAAATGATATCTGAAAAGCATACTACTGATGCAAGCGACTGCAAACTCTTATTAACGACAAAATAATTAACTACGCTGATTCTATCCATATATAGAAAGCACTAAAAAATAACTAAGTAACCAAAATAATTTCCGCAAAATGCACTCGAATGAATGTAGCATTTGATAAAAAGCATTCTAAAAAATTATAAAAGTTTGTATAAATTAACTTTCATATTACGGGAGAAATAATATTATATATGTTAAATTATTTTTTTCGTAATTTCAGAACTCTGCTTATAATTTTAAGGCAAACTGTACCTAGATGTATGATAATTAAACAACAGCAGACAAAAACGTTTGTCATGTTTGTATATGAAATATATTTTTCTACTTTGTGAGACAATCTTTGAAAAAATATTTGCATGTTTAAAACCAGATTTAATGAATAAAAAAATTCAAATAAAGGAACCTGCATTTTTCAAATTGAATTTAAAATGTTCAATTCATACATTTCAACATTATTTTTCATTTACTCGTTGTCGGCTTGTTTGTTGTTTACATTAGATAGGTTGTACAATGTACACAAGTTAGTATGGTACATTATGCCTCTGTGCTCCAACTCAAAGAACAAAACTTTAGTTTTCAGCAATTTTGTTTCTAAAATGGAAATTTTTGATTTTGCTAGTTTACGTGAATGTAATTTCATGGAGTTTTTCTGTTACACCAAATTTACCAGAATATTTTAATAACCCAGACAGGTGTTAGAGGTGCGAAAGTGTACAAAATGGACATACCAAATTATTTACCCTTTGGTGTTCAGCTTTTTAATTTTTGTGCTGCCGTCAATAATGCTGAAAAGTTCAAAAATTAAATACACGCTTCAAAATCAGGTAGTAGTTGATTTTTAATGTCATAAAACGTTTCGAACCTAGTTGCTTGTGACAGATTTTTTGTATTCAATCTGGCTTATCATTTAAAATCACCCTAGTTGTATTTTCTTCTTTCTTTCTTCGTATGATCTTCTGAGAGGCTCCTCATGCGGTTGTTGGGCCTGGAATTGTTGTCGCACTTCGCAAATTGGAGACACAAGATTTTTTGCTATTCCATGTGTTGTTTGTATGTGGAATTTTAAATAGAAGTAGTTCACAGCTGTAAATTTACACTTCCCAACCTGATATTTCCTTTTTATTGCCGTTCTCTTTTCTGGAACTTCGCTTGTCGGATGGAAAGTCCAAGTGTTTTGTTGTTTAGTTAAAAGTTCAAAAATTATTTGAAAGTGGGGTTTTTATCAACGATTTTTCTTGCAAACAGTTGATTGTTGTTTTGTAAAAAACATTTTATCGCCCCTTCAAGAAAGAAAAAAAATTTAATTTGTTTACATGAAGGATTCAATATTTTTCGACATATTTAAATAATTTCAACATCTCAATTTTCAATCATAAGCAAAAGTTATTTTATATCTACCTTTGAAATATAACTAAAAATCGCAGTCTTTTTCATCGATGTTATTTTGCCCTTGCTAGGACCACATCATCATTATAATAAAATAATAATATCCACATCCCAAAGCACACCAAATGGTGCAATTTTTTGTGGGCAGAACCTGTGATTAACCGCGTTCATATTTGCGCAGTGTCAAACTGGATGTTTCTAATTTGGATTCGCGAGGCCTCTTTAACTATTTTAACCGACTATTTTTTAACATTTTTTCGTATTCAAACATTTTTAACATGTAGTAACTGTTTAAAAATAATTTCTTAAATTTCATACTCCTAATGTAATTACTCTTTCAGAAGTTCATTTATTTAAATTGAAACCATAGAAACTTTTGTTGAAATAAATTCTCTCACGAACATGTAGCCAAGGACAGCTCATATAGGACTGGAGTTAGGAAGCGGACGATCAACTGAATGACATCACGAAAAACATTAACTGGTTGAAGGACCTACAACTCACAGTAATTACATTTATTTAGCAAACCACGATCAGTAACTTGTTATTCAAATATATTATATTATGATTAAACTAAATATTAAAATATAAGTTAACTCGTAAGTTTATTATACACATTTGTGTATACGTACATTTTACTATAATCTTCTATTCATCGTGTTAAAATTTGTTTTTTTCTTGTTGGTTATTATAGCGGAATATATAAAAGATAGCTGTTCAAACAACTTACTTTTCTTATACAGCAATGAATTAAGTTATTATTCGTTGCCAAACTTAGTTCAGTTTTATTGAAATCAATAAAACTAACTAGAATTGACCGACAACAAATTAGCTTGCGTATGTAGCTAGGTGTCATTTTTCGATTTGCAAAGACCGCCTCTGTTGACAAAAATTTTCTTTGAGATAGATATTTGAGTTTTTAAGTGTGTAAATGTGATTGCTATTTGTCCTTGGAGTAGTTTGATGATTAGAAGCAGAGATTCTGCTTTTCTAAGGCCTTTAGTTTTAGATAAAAATTACAAACCTCTTGCATCTATGTAGTTTGTCTGTGTCTACTTTTTTACAGTTTAGTAGGTGCTTTTAAACGGCGTCTGAAAATGAATGACCGCGAAAAATAACGATTATATCACCTTGATACTTTGGAACTTTATACAATGTATTGTATATATTTATTCATTCTTCTTGTTTTTTTATATTTTAGTGCGACTTACTTATTTTTAAAATGGCACATCAGAATATTTTAAAGAAAAGTTATTTCATAGCAAATAATAGAAAATAAGATCAGGTAATTGCAGATTTATTTCCCGATGCAATTAAATTCAATAATTAATAATCAAAAAATCAAAGTTATTATACAGAATTCACTTAGATTCGCTTTTTCAAAGTGATTTCCTAAAATTCACTATAAAAAAACTCTCACAAATCCAATTTGGCACTAAGCAGTAGCTGAAAGTGTCAAACATAAAAAACGTTGCAACACGCTATAATATAGCTAGTACAAAATTGAAGAAAATCAAACTACCCCACTTATATCTTATATCCTTCAGCCGAGTTGATAAAATATTTTTAGTCACACAACATGACTCGAACGAAAACTAGAAACACATTTAGTTATAAATAATCGTTATACTTTTATAAATTAACATCAGAAGGGTTAATACACTCGTTTAAGCAAGGGAGCACATGGATTTTTCCACCGCCAACAAAATCCTCAGAATAAAAACGACCAAAAAGAAGAAATGTCTCGTCTCGTGGACAACTGCCAGTTTTTGGCTTGGAACACCGACAACCTGAAAAATCACATGCAAACAAAACATGAATTAGGAGAAAAAAATAGTGTCCAATTTGCAAGAAATATGCGTGCGCCAACAACTCCATGCTCAACTACCACACCACCTGACGAGCCACTCAGAAGTGAGTTTCACAAGTGCAAAACATGTGGAGCTTCGTATAAATGTTTGTACCAGTTGAAACGACATCTTACCAAGTATCCATCGCACGTTACAACCACAGATTCGAGGTTTCAAGGCTCAAAAGCCCCAAAAACAGAATTCTACAAATAATGTTGCAAACAACGACATGGAATAAGAAGCCGGCAATAATAATGGCAGTGGAAAGGGCAATTTAAGAGTGGAAAATAAGCTGTTTGGCATCGGTAGCATCATGGTTGCACTACAACGACTGAAGTGAACCAAACAACGGTAAGAAAGTCCGGGAAAGGAGTTTCTAGGAAGATTTCAAGGTTTTCTTCGTCATCAGACCGATGAGGAAATGATGGACGATAAACTTTTTAGCACTTTGGATTTGAACAAATCAATTTGTTTCAGCGTATTACTCTCTCAAATCTATGTTTTTAATCGTTGCGAGATTTATGAAGTAAAAAAGTAATAATAATTGTAAAACAGATCTTTTGACCATCACGTTTTTTGTTGTTGTTTCAACCGTGATAAACAAGTAAATTAATGTTTTAAAAGAGTTTAATTTCTACACTGTTTCTAACTTCTTTGAATTGGTATCTCGAATAGGTTAATTGCGCAAGGCTGCGAAAGTCACAAGCAATCCCATTGTTTTTTGACTGTGTAAAAAAAATCTGAAATTTTATTAATAGTTAAATTGAAAAAGAGCCTTAAAAAATATTGTAAAATTACTTTGAGATTGTTAATATAAGCTTTTAAATGTATCTTATTAATTTCAATCGTTTGCTATTTTAGTTTTTTCATGTTCAAATTTGAATCGTGGAAATTAATAGTAACATTAATGTTTTAATTATTTAACCCACTATGAAGTGTCCAATCCAAATTTTTTAAAGTAAACAGCGCTTGTAGCAAGTTTTAAACTGGCAGCTTAACTGCAAACTTAGCTTAAATATAAATTTTTCAAACTAAAAACGTGAAAAAATTTAGAAATTATTATACTTTATTATCTACTTATTTACTTTTTTTCTAAAATTCATAACTTATTAAAATTTAGAATCTATGATTTGTGGTATATAAACTTATGTTTATAAAATTATGAACATATGAAAATCATGAACGTATACAATTGCTAACTAGTTGATTCAACGCAACAAAATGTAAACAACGTTCAAATCCTGAACACACTTTTTGTACATAGCAAGCAAAAAAAATTTTTGTTGACAACTCTTTTTTTGTACTAATCTAACTAGCAATGTCCTAATATATACTTATATGTTATATATTGTGCTAAAAAATAATTAGCATACATATTGTTAAAGGGTCAATTAGCATATCACAAAGGATATTTTCCATCAAGCTATTGGAAGGAATTCATCTTTGATACTTCGCTCCGTGATATGTATAGAAATATATTGATAGAACGCGTAAAAAAATACGAACCACAATTTCCATGTTTTTTTTAACACATACCTAAATTTGTAAAACACACAATTGTCGTTAAATTCAATTTTCTAAACCTACCAGCATGAAAACACACAATTGGGCAGGCATGAATAAACGTAGCTATATACAAAAATATAAATGTGAATTTTTTGTATTGTAATGCTGAATTTGTATAGGGGCTTATATATGTTTTTAGGTGATTAATCAATATCGTTCTTTTTTTCACAATTTAGTTAAAGTGGTCTGCCTATTCATTTGCATCGCGATCCCCTACGTTTCTTGCAGAATATAATATATCATCCAATTGAATTCGGTCTGTCGGTCTTTGAATATTTTTGTGAAACTGCATGATCGAGAGGAGGGTAGTGGACTTCACGGAAAAACAGGCGACTTTTGTTGGGTCGATTAAAAGTGAGGAATTGTTTTTTTTTTTATAAAGAGTTATTATTCTACCTAAAGGGTTGGTAAGTTCGTCTATAACAGTTCTTAGTTTTTATGGTAACGACGGTTGTGATAATAATAAATCATAATATCATTATTATTAATAAAACTATTTATTAAAAGTTAAAATAAACCACAATGAATAATTTAATTATCTAACTTTTTTCAATTTTAACTTACGATGTGCGAATCAAATCAACCGTCAGTAAAAAAGTTGATGTGGAAAAAATGTCATTGGATTCTATGTTAGCCATTAGCATGAAATTTTTCATCAATAAGGATCATCAGTTATTCCCAGTGGCAGTCAGAAATTTGTGGCTTGTCTGTCAGAGGGGCTTAAATTTGTTTTTAAAAGTGGAAAATTATATTTTTGTTTAAATCATAATAAATATTAAACATTTTTTCGATGTTTTTATGGCCTAATTTTGTGTGGTTTTCAAAGTGGAATCGGAAGTTGTGAAAAATTAACATTTTTTTGTAGTGTGAGCTGAAACAATTTTGCATTCAAAATCTTTGCAAATTTGTATTGAGATTTTGCTCAATTTAGCCTCAACACTGGCTCGATTGATTAATTGAAAAAAACCTGCTCACCAACTGCACCTGCCAAAGACTGCCAGCTGTACAATAAAAGCGGCGTTATGGGTTACAAATGTGTGCGAAACCGACCGTTGTAACGGCTCTGTCGGTATAATGCCTCCATCTCTTGTGCTACTTTTTATTACCGGTGTCGGTAATTGAAGCGGACTCGGATATTTTTCATTAGACTCTGACGGCCCGATAAACTTCCATAGGCCACCAAAACCGTTACAACTAAATCAATCTTCAACTTAAAATCGTTAATTACAACTTGTAACGCAGAAAACTTCTAAATTAACAGTTATCAATAGCTGAAATGAAACAGACTCCACTCCACAAAAACGGTCGCAAGATCGCACTTAATTGCAAAACTATCAAACTTATAAACTTATTAAAAATAACAAAACGCTCTAATAAGTATTCCTAATTTATTCAACAGAAATGTAATAAAACCTATAAAATGAAGTAACTCATGACACATCATTTTTCATCATATTTGCTCCTTAAAATATTCAACTGGTCAGTAGATAGAGTTACATCAGTAAAGAGCATCTCTCTCTACATCTTACCATTCTATCCATTTGACCAATTGAACAAACATTAATTAAGGTTAGAATCTTTAAAGTTAAAAATAACTACACACACACACACATGCACAGTGCAAACACACAATCTGCATATACCTTCACATACTAAACACATGCACTAGCGCACACATACACAAGTACACACACGGACATACTTTGTATACATATATAAATATATATATATAAATCAGCTATAAGTAAAAGCAAGAAACAATCAGTTTTTTTTAGAAAAAAAAACCATTATTATTTTAACCACAGGATAAAAAACGGTTATTAAACAATGTTATTGAAAAACTATTATAATAATATAAAATTCACTCCAAATTCACTAGAGCCAAAAAACCATTCCGTCATCATTAGAAACATCATCACCTCACAACTTCTCACTGAAAAAATGACTTAATCATCTTCAACTGTCATAACTATCATCATCGTATTGATCATCATTTTTATTATCATCAATTTAATGTTCTAAAATACCTATCGTCATCATTACATTACTACTATCATTACCACATTACTTCGTTAATTTTTCACTCAGTACATCTCTATCATCATTACGACCTTGATCTAGATTTTGACTTTGTCCTTGACCTACGTCTCCGGTTGTATGATCGACTCCTGGAGCGAGATCTACTGCCGTAGCTGGTTTTCAGGATAACAATGGTATAAAGTATTACATCAAATGTATACATTACTAAACTTAGAAGAAAGAGAGATATAAAGAAAGAGCAAAAGCAGAGATAGAAAAAAGAAGACAGACTGAGAGAAAAAAAACTTACTCTTTCCTGGAGCCCCTTTTCTCCTCGGGGCAGTCTCTGGCCCAGTGACCTGTTCTGTGACATCTGGCACACTCATCCGCTCCTATCTGCTCAGAGGAGGGGTGAATAGAAAATTGATTCAATTAAATGTTACAACCTAAATAATGGTAGTGAGTTTGAAACAAATTTTAAATAAAAATTTACAAAGTGTGAAAATATGAATGATGGAATGATGACAAAAACATGAGGTTTATGTGTGTGAAGCATTCAATGTAGCATGTCAAAAAAATGATGGCTAACTCTGCTTTCTCTTCTGCCATAACTACCTCTGCTGCTGCCACCAAACTCGTCGGGCTGTGTGGAAAAATTAAAAAACTAAAGATAAATTATGTGGTTGCAGTTAATGTCATCTTGAATTACGTAGTTCTAGTTAATGTCATCATGAATTATGTGGTTGCAGTTGAAATCATCAGCACCACTAATGATATTAAGACATTCATATCAACAGTCAATCCTAAAAGCGTTATATCTACAAGCACCACTGTTGAATACTTGGCGGCAGACTATTTTATCAGAAATATCTTCACAGCACTCTTATAATATAAAAACTATTCACGCAGTCAGATAGTAGGATATGATGCAGTATGATGATATAAAATGCAGTGCAGCGTCCGGCTTCAAATTGGCAAAAGATCCAAATCTATCACATGAAATGCATTGTAGTAATGAAATGAGAGGACAATGGTAGATGAAGGACTCCAATTACCATTATACCATTAACATTACTCACTATATATGTATTATTATTATTATTATCATGAGTGATGTTTTCACCATAATACACAACTAAAAAGTAAAATAAATAAATAAAAGTTTTTTCCAGTGGTATAAAGATAGCCAGAAAACATGCTAAAACGTCGTAAAATCTGAACAAACATCACATCATCATCATATCACCCACTCACCTTCCTTGGAGTTCCCTTGGACCATTCGACGATGATCTTCGAGCCGCAGACAGTCCGTCCATTCTCGTACCTAATGGCATCCTGTATTCAATTGTTCCATGACAATTTTGTCAAATTACCATAAATGATTGTAAAGATGAGAATTTAATTTACTTTGATAAAAAAATATATGCATTTATTTTATATAATAGGCAAATCATCAAAAAAAATCTTCATCAAAGATTAGTATTTGAGAAAGATTTAGAAAAAATCACAATTTGGAAGCAAGAAGAGTATCAACGAGATTACATACGTGAAGTTAATTTAATAGTTGGATGTATAAAGTAAAATAAACATAAAATAGAAATATTTGTATCTTTTGAGATAGAAGTTAGTAGAAATTTAGTTAGAAAATAATAATAATTACAATATAATAATGAGTTTTATAAAAAATTTCATTACTAATTAAAAGACTAACATTAATATAGTTGTATAAGGTTAAAGTATTGATACTGATACATATATAATATATATCTACACATACATATAATAAGTAATACACGCACAAAATTAACTGCTTGCTAAAATTACCATCAACCATTGGCTAATGTTTGGATGGATTGATGGAGGAAAGGATGGAGGAATAAAATCTTTTTGATTGGATGGATGGATGGATGTAAGGATTGAATACATTGGCTAATGGATGGATGGATGGAAGGTGGGCAGAGTGGATGGACCAAGTTTACTCTAATGTTTATGGATAATATATTACGGATTGGCTAGGATACGGACAAGAAGAGGGAAGGAAGGAATGCGAAAGAGGATCGTTATGTTAACTAAACTGAAAAATAAAAGTTACTTTGAGCTAATTTTTGTTAAGTCTAAAATTTTATTTGATTGTAAAACATATACGCCATTTAACATCATTATTAATAAACTAAGCAATGTATTAAAAATTAAGCTATATTAAACAAGCAAGTCTAATTTAAAAAAAATTTAATTCAAATAGAATAAAAATCTCAAACTCACAGCTGCATCCCTTCTGTCTTCAAAATCAACGAAACCATATACTGTAAAATGAAAAATTTAATATTTAAACTTTAATTTAAAAGATTTAAAAAAAAAACGGTAATGCTGATTAGCAAAATGCAAAAATCACCCAATAATTATTAATTACTTTATTTTATTAATACAAAAAAATCATTACTAAATAATTAACTATAGATATCAAAATATAAAACTGGCCGAAGGTAGAAAGGTTTTTGGAATGAAAAAAGAAAAGTAAAAAGCATGCTAAGATGTACACCATCGACCTCGATGGTCCTCGATGGTCCCCGATGGACGAAAGAGGATCATTGATTGATTGATTATTAAATAATGTACCTAATACTTTAATTTAAAAAATTATAAGAAAAAGTTGAGACTACTTACTAGTTTTTCCAGATTCCGGACCTGAATGAACAAATTTAAACAAAAATTAAAATGGAGATACTGAATCCATAAACTAACATATTATTTTTAAAGTATAAGTTAGAATATCAATATAAAATGTCAAATGTAGAAGAGTATTGCAAACTAAAATGGCAAAGCAATAAAAAATTAATGTGAAAACCTAATTAACATTGAATACAATATTAAATAAACCAAGTATAGCTTAAATAAAGTTAGGCCAAATTAAAAAAAATTAATTATCTTCAATAAATAAAAAGATTGACCAACCATTGTTGTACTTAATTTCGCATCTCGTTATTTTGCCGTACGTCTCAAAAATCTCTTCCAAATCTCTTGTCCTCGTATTTTTGTTGAGACGGCCAATAAAAAGGTAACCTCCGTCAGATCTTCGAGACATTTTCGATCGAGTTTTTAGATGAAAAAAAATAAAGGCGACACAAGAAACAGGAAACAGTTCAGAAACCGGCGTACAAAGCGTGGGTGCATTTATACGTTTTTGTAGATATTAGTAATCTTTTTTTTGATTATAGAGACTCGTTTTACTAAATAATCATTAAAATTGAAATTTTATTTTTTTATTTATGATATAATTTTAATCAAAAATTAATTTTTTAAATTTCACTCGAGATATCTCTTTTCGAGATATATCTTTAAAATTATCTCATTTCGAGATAATTTTACGTTAAGAATGAAATACCGATCAATCTTTACATTCGGTCACTTTTACACACTGTCCCGTTAAAGCGGGTTTCATTTAATTATTTTTTTTTGCTCAAAAATGCCGTCAAAATTTAAATTTCAGGAAGGTGTTTATTTAATATTCTTTCTTATTTTTTTGTATTTTTAAAATATATTTTTAATTTTTCATTTAATGAAAATTTCAATTTTGCGTTTGGTTATTTATGTGGATGTTTTCTGTTCTTGTTGCCTTCTGTTTGTGCAAGATTTTTTTAATTAAATAATTACTAAATTAGTAATTAGGAAAAAAGAAATGAATATTAAACCCTAAGGTTAACATTTTATTGTAAATTTATCATTTCTCAGGAGAACAGATCTTATGCTTCCATGGTCCACTTCTTTATGAAGCCAAAGTGATTTGATGTTTTCCTGCAATAATTTTTTTAGTTATTTTTAAAATTTTAATTAATTAATTATTAATAATTTAAAGTAATATTTTTTGTAGAATAATCACGTGAATGTAAATTCAACTTTTACATGAAGTATTCATAATTTATTATTAAATTATTAATATAATAAATTATAAATATATTGAATTAATTAATTTTTAGTTTTATTATTATTTTATTTATAATGCCAAACTAACATACAATTGTTTTTAGCTAGTTAGTTTTAAACTTAATATTAATTTTTACATTTTATTCTTTCTTTTTTTAAAACGTCATCTTTTAAATAAATAATTTTTTCACAATCAGTGTCTGAAATGTGAACTGAAAGATAAGGCAGTGAAGTATTTGGTCCATTATAATGGATGGAGCAAAAAGTAATTTCAAATGAATACTTCTCAAACAACCTCAAATATATAAATACTTTTACTCATACAGTTACTTCAAATATAAATAACTACTATAATTGCTACTATTCCAGTTACTCAGTAATTATTATTATTATTTATTTATTATTATTACTGTGGAAATTTAATTTGACTTTAGTAGTGTTTAGTAGTATTAGTAGTATCTTTATGATGAATACTACATTGAAATAGCAACTTTTTTATGGATGAATATATATATATATTTAAATATATTTCTTTTTGCATTTGTAATGCCAGTCTACTGAACAATTACACCATCACATTGCACACATATTCGTGTAATTATAGTCAATTATAATTAATTAAAATTAATTAAAATTAATTATAATTATAATTAAACAGCTGGGATGAGTGGGTGCCTGAGAGTAGAGTGCTGAAGTTCAACGAGGCAGGCCAGCAGAAGCAGAGGGAATTACAGAAGGCTCATTCGTTTGTCTTTTTTCGTCTTCATTCCTTCGTTCTATCTTTCACTTTTATATTTATTTATCCAACCACACTTCTATCATTATTCATCCAATCATTCATTCATTTCTTTATTCTTTCTATCATTCTCATTCCTCAGTTCATTTGTTTATTCATTCATTCATTCATTCACTTGGTTTATTAACTTGAACTGTTTTTATTGTAATTGGTTTTTTTATTATTATTTATTTTATTATTTATTAAAATTATTATCATTATTGTTTTATTAATATTATTTTCATGTTTCTATCCTCTAAGAGTGAAAACGAAACCAGGCAAATCGAGTAACAAAGAATCAGCTAACAAAGATAAAGAATCTACAGAGTAAGTCGTTGAGTGGTAATAATAATAACAATACTAATAATAATAATACTCCAACATTCAAGAGGGAATGACGTCCCTGCTAGTAGTTCAGTCAATCAATCAATCAATCTTGTTTGAACGAAACAGAGATCTGTTGCCAACAAGTTCAAATAGACTTGTAACTTTTTTAAGATTTAGTTTTACGTTTGTATTTAAAAGTGCAATGATGAGTACAGAATACTCGCTTTATAAATTGCGAATGTTCCTCGGCAAGTGAATTGAAAAAGTTGAGTAAAAAAATGGAAGCATTTACCTATTACTACTACTACTACTACTAATAATAATAATAATAATAATAACATTAATAACAATGTGAACCATAATAACAATAATATAATAGTGATGATAATAATAATGATAATTCGACAGGAAGCACAAGCAGTCAGCAGCGTCTACTTCCTCCTCTTCGACATCAGCAGCTGCCAGGCAAGGTCAGAAGGATAAGAGGTCAGTCGACAAACCACAGCAACAACAACAACAACAACATTCGTCATCGTTGTCATCAGTGACGTCATCAGTGACGACAGCACATCAGCAACAACAGCAGCAACAATCTGATAGCAAGGCTGACGATGCTTATTCTAACGGTTTGTGTTGTTGTTTGTTTGTTTGTTGGTTTGTTTGTTGGTTTATTTGTTTGTTATTGTGTATTGCTAGTGTTGTTGTTTGTAATTGTTTATTGATATTATTATTATCTCAATATCATCATCGTCATTATCTCTAAAATCTTGTTTATCATTGTGTCATCATCATCGTCATCAACACGATGACGTCATCATTACCATGACGTCATCATCACATTGACAAAACGACGGCAGCATCGACGGATACGGCTGAGAAGATTGATGGGAGTACGAAGAAGAAGAGGCAGAGGCCGAATGATTCTATGGTTGGTTGGTTGGCTGGCTGGTTGGTTGGTTGGCTGGTTGGTTGATTGGCTGGCTGGTTTGTTGGTTGGCTGGCTGGTTTGTTGGTTGGCTGGCTGGTTGATTGTAATCATTATCATTACGATGTTTATCACCATCAATCAATCAATCAAATTTTTATAATTAGCTGGTTGGTTGGCTGGTTGACTGGTTAGTTGACTGGCTGGATGGTTGATTATACCATTACGAACTTTGTCATCATCAATCAATCAATCAAATTTATATAATCCATATCTAAAGATTCAACTGTTAATACTGATAAAGATCATCTCTTTCATCATCATCGCTGTTATCGTCATCATCATCATCGCCCTCCTCCTCCTCCTCCTCATCATCATCATCATCGTCCTCTTTATTATTATCATCTTCCTCTTCATCATCGTCCTCTTCATCATCGTCTTCATCATTATCATCATCCTCTTCATCATCGTCTTCATCATCGTCCTCTTCATCATCATCATCGTCCTTTTCATCATCATCAGCATACTCTATCAGCGCCAACTGATTCTTTGAAGAAGAAGAAAGGCAAAGTGGAAAGTTCACCCGCTGTTGAAATGGTGGGTGCATGACGTCATCACCATCGTCATCTAAATCATTATCATCATCATCATTATCATCATTAATCTTTATTACTATCATTATCATCATCATCATTCTCGTTATTAGCATCATCATCCAAATCATCATCAACACCATCATTATCAAAATCATCATCGAAATCATTATCATCCTCTCGAAGTCGTTATCATCTTCATCATTACCGCCATCATCACCAACGTAGTCATCATCGTCACCGCCATCATCACCAACGTAATCATCATCATCATCAGGAGGAGTCCTACCTGGCAAAAATGGACATCGAGGTGAAGATACCGCTGGAGTTGAAGGCCTGGCTGGTGGACGATTGGGACCTTGTCAACAGGCAAAAACAGGTTTGTCTATTGAACTTATCGTCGTATGCACAAAAAGTGAGAGAGAGAGAGAGAGAGAGAGAGAGAGAGAGAGAGGAACAATGAACATCACCATTTCAGTCCTTATCATCGTCATCTTCAACATCATTATCGTCTTATCCTCATCATCTCACATCATCATCATCTTCACCTCCATCATTTTCATCATCATCATCATCTTCTTCACCATCATCATCATTTTCTTCTTCTTCATCATCATCATCTTCTTAATCACCTTTATCAACATCCGAATCATCATCATCATCAGATAGTAAGACTTCCATGCACTCCAAACGTTGACACCATACTGGATGACTACCTGGAGTTTAAGATCAATAACTCTAAAAATGTTTCCAAGTATGTATTGGTAGTTGTTAGTTTGTGTGTGTGTGTGAATGTCCGCGCGTTTGTGTGAATGTCTGTGTGTGTGTGTTTGTGTGTGTAACAAAAAACATAAACAAATATATATAAAGACAAATAAACTTAGACAAATAAGCATATAGACAAATAAACAGAGACAACTGAACGTAGGCAAGTAGACGTAGACAAACAACCAGAGACAACTAAACATAGGCAAATAGACGTAAACAAACAACCAGAGACAACTAAACGTAGGCAAATAGACAAATAAACAGAGACAACTGAACAGGCAAGTAGACGTAGACAGTTTAAACATAAACAACACAGGGATGCTTTGGAGGAGGTGTGCCTGGGATTGAAAGATTACTTCAACGCCATGCTGGGCAACCAGCTTCTCTACAGACTGGAAAGGCCCCAATACGCCGACGTCAGTTTTTGTTATTATTATTACTGTTATTATTATTATTATTATTATCATTGTTATTTTCATTATTATTATTATTATATTTATAAATAATTCTTACAAACGCAAAGATCCTAAATAAGCATCCCGATACGCCAATGTGCAAGTTGTACGGCGTTCACCATCTACTTAGGCTCTTTGGTTCGTTGTTTATTGTATTGTTATTATTATTATTTCTTGGTCATTATTATAATTGTTATTATTATTCATTATTATTATTATTCATTATTATTATTATTATTCATTATTATTGTTATTGTTACAATTTTTTGTGTAAAATTCTGTATGTCATATTATCTTCAGACATTATATATAGATTGATCGTTTCATTATTGCCATTGTATTTGAATTATTATTATTATTTATTATCAATTATTATTATTATCATTCTGTCCTGGTTATGACATTAAACTGACCCTCACTGCCTTGTGAGTGATGTTGGATCATCAAAGGCTAGGCCCACCGCTTATAATTGTGGTTGCGTAAGGAAGGGCGTCCTGCGTAAAAATTAGCCAAATAAATTACTTATGATGACAGAAGTGACAATGGCTCTCAGTATCCGGCAGAATGGCGTCGAGGGGTATTTCGGTTTCATCATAGGTAGCCAAACGGCAACCCCCGATCTCGGGGAAAATGCCGTCTAAACGTGTGTTGTTGTATTATTATCATTATTATTATTATTTTTATGCCCCCTCAGTTAAGCTAGGGGGGGTCCTGGCCTACACCTCCCTGGACCGAAAGTGTCTGCAAGTTCTCATGTCGCATTTTCAAGATTTCCTACAGTGAGATTATTATTATTAGTTATTTTTGGTTTAGTATCGTTGGTATGGTTTTTGTTGTGTAGTTAATGTTGTTGTTCTTAAGCCTTTGAGTAGTACTAGTTCTATCTTAATTATCATCATCTCTTCATTGCAAGGTATATACTGAGTAACTCGTCTTCACTGATGACCACCGAGAATTATGTCGTCAATCCACCAGAGTTCATGAGGAAGATACTATGAATGAGTGAATGAACTCTTCACTCATTCATTCACTCATTCATTCATTCATTCATTTGATTATTTACTAAATTCATTAATTATACAGTGATTAATTATTCATTTATTCATTCGTTCGTTCATTCATTCATTGATTTGTTCATTCATTCGTTTATTCGTACATTCATTTGTTCATTAATTTATTCATTCATTCATTTAGTTATTTATCAAATACGAGAGATGAATAAATGCATTAGTTAATGGATGGATGAATTATTGAATGATTAAATTAATGGATAGATGGTTGAGTGGATGATTGAATTCTGAATAAATGATTGAACAGTAGTCGAAAAAAAGAATTAGGTTTGATTGGCTAATTAACTGGCCGATTGATTAATTAATTAGTTAATTAATTAATTGATTAACTAATTAATTGATATAACTGCTTATTGGCTGATTAAATTTTAAATGTTTCTGATTGAATGGATGGTTTTATTAAGGAATAAATTTTTTCGATTGACTGATTGAATGAAATGAATGAATGAATGAATAAAAAAACGAAAACAAATGAAGGAATATATGATTAGATGGCTGAGTTTCAAATTGATTGATAGATTGATTGATTGGTTGGTTGATTGGTTGATTGATTGGATTGATTGATAGATTGATTGATTGAGTGAGTGAGTGAGTGAGTGAGTGATTGATTGATTGAGTGATTGATTGAATAGCTTTATAGACTGATTGAAGCACACTATTTCATCATCATAAAAAAATAATTTTATATGTAAAAAGTACATATGGTGTTTTATTTTATTTCATTTTAGACAGTTACTTTTAATTTTTTTTATTCAATTTAATGTGAAGAACTTGGAAAAATGTTTACAGATATCTTTATTTATTTATTGTCTCACTTTTTGCTACTTTGAAATCGCTGAACGAACAATCAAAAGAGCAAAACGAAGGCCGTCTATGGCTCTTCTGTTTTCAGACATAAAAATCAACAAACCAAAGTTTAGCAACCAAGATCTGTTGTTGGGGCTGAAAGACAGCACAACGCAGTCTCAAACATAGCTAAACATGGCTGCAAACCCTTGATTCGCTAAAGCAAGGTTGCATATATATATATATATATATATATATATATATATATATATATATATATATATATATATATATATATATATTCAAAGTTGTATAAATAACATGGGATGAAAGAAATCGCAACAGTAAAAATAGCTCGTTTAAATTTTATCTCAAGTATTGTTCAATTATACAGTGATTAATTATCAATATATTCAATGAAATTGAGTTGAACGCTTGGTGTGAAAAAGTTAAGTAACCCAAAACAGGCATTAAGCCTATTTTCTCATCAGCCTAATATTTAAAACTTACATGCGTATAACCAAATAGTTCGATTTAAAGTTTATAATCAAATAATCATTTTACATGTAAGTACCTTGCTTTTTCTGGCCCTTTTCTCTGGAACTCTCTATCTATTTATCTGACTACTTCTCCATCACTTACAAAGTTCAGAGCGGATCTCAAGACCCATCTGTAGGCAATATTCATTGAGGTGCGCTGTTGAACATCGCGGAAATAGCGCTTTATAAGCTAATTGATTGATATTTGAAAATTTACCTTCGTAGAGTGACTCCCCCGCCAAAACACTGAAAATCATTTTTCTCTGCTTTGAATTTTCGTAACCTAACCTCAAAAGGTTTTGAACTATTGTTGGTACAAATAGTCTTCATGTAGAATGGTGAATCGTAATATTAAATATATATACCTAAATGTCCTAAATAAATTCTCTAATAGATAATTTCTTAAATAAAACTTTCCTGAATAGTTTAGTCACGTAAAGAAAGCAATGTACGCAAGTACTGCACTATATAATATTAAAACAATCTTACACCATGAACTCTTCTTATTGATATTTCTCATCTCGCTACTTATTCACTATATATTATTTATTTATTTATTACATTATTTATTGTATATTTATAATATATTAATATATTTCATCTTGTCATTAATGATATACTATTAGTAATATATTACCAATCGAGAGGGAGAGAGAGAGAAGAAGAGAAAGAGGGTAGAGAGCAAATGGAGAGGAAGAGGAGAGGAAAGAAAGGAAGAAGGAGGAAGAAGAAGCAGAAAAATAGAGAGAGAGAATGAGTGGATAAAATTTCATTCGTCAAATTGATAGCTCGCCAGCCTATGACTGGCTGCAAAAATAACGATGTGCCTTAGCGATCAGCCAACTCAACATGGTCAGAGAATGATATATATATATTAGTTTACATAATTAACATTTACTAGTGTTTTTTATTAATTTAAAACAAATTAGCATTCAAATTTGTATCAAAAAAGCAAATAAAATAAATAAATGATTGGGTTTTGGAAATAAAATGTCAACAAACGTATTATAACTATATATATTATAACGATATTACTTAAATTATAGTCGACAAAATAATTTATCTTGACACCTAGCGGCCAGCGATGGAAACAAATATTGTTAGCATCAAAGCGAGCTAAGGACTTATAAAATCGAAGCACCTCTACTATTATAAGCAAATGGTATTTTATTTGTATACTTGTGTGTATGTGATGATTAAAATTCAATAAAACACCCATAAATTACAATAAAATAAGGTACAAATAAAGGCGAAATTATAAAAGTTCACTTTTAAAAAGAGCGTTAAACGGTTTCTGATATGAGATTTAAATTTTAAATGGCAGAGGGTGTGCCGCTTTATTTTTTAAACGTTTTTAAAATTTTTATTCGTTCACATTTTTTGATGGACATTTAAATTTTCAGGTTGGTAAGATACTTTATTTAATAATAATACTTTACGTATTTAATAATTTTATTTTTAAAAGTTTAATTTAATTTAATTAATTTTAATATAATTTAGTTTTTTTTAAATTGAACAAATAAAAAAACGAGACAATAAATTAATTTAAACTTTTAAAGACTTCGTGTTCAAAGCAAAGTATTTTGCAGAATTCATTTCTACTACACTCACTACTACTACTGCTTATTACTTTGTACTTGTAGTATTTTAAAATCAAATTAATCAATTAATAAGTAGTAAATTAATATTAAGTAAATAAAATAATTTTAATAAGTTTTTCTTCCAAAATAAGGATGTTCCTGTCTAAATTGGTACTCCACCTACTGACCATAGTAGTGACCAACTGGGCCCATTTTGATTACTACCTGGATGTTGGCAGTGGTCTCTGGTACGTTCAGCCAATGGGTAAAGGTACTATGTGGAGGGTTGCTTCCTTCATAGCGTCAATGTACTTCCAAGGTAGAAAAGTTTTTTGGGAACCATTCTATTACCTATACTACTATTTGTAGTAATAACAGCAGCAGCAGCAGCAGCAGCATTAGTTGTAGTAGAAGTAATGATGTAGAAGTTCTATTCAAAAGAAGAAGTTAATCAATTTTAGCTTCACAGTACTTTCATTACTGAAATTTTTTTTTTTGAGAAAATTCTTACAAAGCTACAAACTCGAACGTTTGTTTGTATTAGCAGTAGTATTGGTAACAGTAGTAGAAGTAGTAGTGGTTGTAGTAGTACTATTAGTACTAAATGTAATTGTTTTAAATGTAATAGAAGTAGTCAGTGGCGGATCCATGAGAAGATGTGGAGTGGAGATGCATTTCCTACCGGACCATGAAAGAAGAAAATTTGAAACTTCTGCCAAAACTTTTTATTTTTATTTTTCATAATACAGCTGTCTAACGCTGAGTTATTTGCATGTTATTCTATACTTGTAATTAAACTTTCCTGCTTAAGTTTCGCATCATATGCGTGTGATGGTTTTTGAGTTTCAGATGGGCAGCATTTGAACCATGCCATTGAGTAGTAGCAGCGCAAGACATGGCGCTCCTACCGACTGAGCTAACTCAGTGACCAAACTATGGTAAAAAAGTTAACAGAAATTAACTAAAAAATTCCACCAAATATTTTTTTAATTTTTAGAGCAATCGCTTAAATTGAAAGCAAAACTCTACAAAGATATTGACCTAGAAATCCAAACAAAAGAGTTCTACGGCTGCTATTATAGCAGTCCCGTCCTTGAATACGGTCCCACACTATATTCAACAAGGTATGTGTGCGTGTGCGTGCGTGTGTTGTGTGTGTGTATGTTTGTGGTGTTTGGTATGTATTTATGTTTGTATGTTTGTTTGTATGTATGTTCTCCCGAGGTAGGACGTTGTTTTCTTTGCCATAAATTTCTTGCGCCAAATTAGGCGGTCAGTTGTATCCATTTCATTTAAATTTAAAGCTTTCATGTCTTGCTCGATTGTTTGCGACCAGGACTTCTTTGGGCGGCCTTTGGGACGTGTGCCATGTACTGAAGTTATGGAAAAAAGTTATGGCACTGTTTCCACTTCGTTTGACATGACCAAACCACCGCAGACGGTGTTGCGGCATTCGTCCTTTATATCATCTAAACCAGCACGACGCAGGATTTCGGTAGATTTGATGTGGTCCTTCAGACTAATTCGTTGCATCCATCGGAGCATTTTTATGTCGGTTCGTTGAAGTTGTTGTTCCAGTTTGGTTGTTTCTGCACCATATAACAAGACCGGACGTAGCACAGATTTATAAAGTCTTGATCGTAGTGGTAGTGGGATGTTACGCCGCATCAATATAGAGGCAAGGAGATGCCATTTATTCCAGGTTGCACGTATGCGTTCTCGAACGGCAGCTTCAGCTGTTCCAGTACAACCCAGAACATCTCCTAGCTATTGGAACGATGTGACTTTTTCTACCTTTATGGCTTCAAAAACAGTGCTATTTCGAATTTGTTGTTGTGGATTGATGCAAGCAGGACAAACAAAGTTGGACACTTTAGATAAATTACCAACTATTTTTGAACAAAGTTTGTGACACCACTGGTTACACTGCTGACACTTGAGTGAATTGTTACCTACACCAGCTTTACAAACTGAACAGGGCCATCGTCCAGTAGCTGTGGATTGGATGGGTTCACCAGTGTTCATTGTTTTGGTTTTGCTGATGTTGACTTTCAATCCATGATCGGCCAATCTGGTGTTCTAATCTTCAAACATCTGTGCTGCATTCTGCTCAGACGTGGCTGTTAAAACGATATCATCAGCATATATTAGATTCCAAATGTCACCAGTGCGTATTGGATTTGTAATTTCTTCCATTACAGTTATAAATAATAGTGGACTGAGAATCGAGTACTTCTCTTGCAGTTGCCGAAGGATGTGAATTGCATCAATTGTTGATTTCCCCGCTAGGAAACCAAATTGATAATTTCCGATTGTGATGCACGACGTTAATCTTCTCTCAATGATTTTTTCGACAATTTTCAGGAAGTGTTCTAACAGACGTATACCCCGATGTGATGAAAAGTTCAGTGGATCACCTTTGTCTTTGTATAGCGGAACTGTCATGCTATAATTCCATTCAGTCGGCATTGAGCAATTTCTCCAGACTTCACGGCATAGTTGTAGTAACGTTTGGATACTTGCAGTACCAGATGCTTTGATAATGTCATTTGTGAGTCCAGAGGGCCCTGCTGCCTTTCCAATTTTCATAGCTTTCAGAGCTTCTGTAAGCTCCTCTACAGTGACGTCTGGAATCGGACCTTCGATGGGTGGAGCGTTAATACCATTATCGATAATTATTACAAATTAAACTTAATAACAATTGACTTAATCCAATTTTATTGAAATAGAAATAATTGGTGCAGTTAAAACTATTTAATTGGTTTAATTGAAATTAATTAATTAATTGATTGATTAATTAACTTAATTGAGATTTTACAACAAAAACCTCTGCGGCTGGGAGTGTAGCACCGAATTTGAGGACCACTGTGACAATCTTAGGACCTTTGTTGCCGTTTTTGGAAGTAATTTAGGCGGGTTTTTTTCACAATAATTATATATGTATATTTACTTATTAATTTATTTCCTTTATTCATTTGAAACTATATTTATTTATTTATTTATTTATCTTTATGTCGATTGTTTAAATTTTTCCATTTTATCATCTCCCATGCCATTCATTCAAACAAAATTGAAAATGTAGAATTGCCAGATTGCCAGACGCTAAATTAAAACGCCCTACAAACCCGCCCACCAGCTCACGCACACACACACACACACACACACACAACACTGACCAGGAATGGGGTGTATATGTATCTGCGAAATTGAAGACCTGACGGGGGCCAGCGAGGCCCCCAAGAACGATTGCAGCACCACTTAC